CAGCAAACTCCCATGATACAACAAACAATCGACAGGAACAGCACGCACACTGCTACTTCTTGGTGAGAAACCCCAAAGCCACAATACAACACTCCACCAATTAACGCCTCCCACGAGCTAGATACCACCACCTGCTTACCCATACCTATAAATATCCACCAACAGTAATCCCAATTCACACAACATTCAGCCTTGATAATGGATGCAGAATGCATTCGAAACGCGTCGGCCAACTCATCACTAGCTACAACTTTTACCCGTTGTTCTAACAACGTTAAGACAGCTTATCGACTTCTTGAGAAGAATTCTAAGAAGAAAGTAAACCTACAGACATCGGTCTTGTTTAACAAAATCTGCCTACAAGAAAATCTGTCACCAAAGTACACCAATATATATGATAACAGTAATTTTGGGGAATGCTGTCAAAAATATATTTGCTTTAAGTTAATCACACCTCTCCCAGTGATGCTGGGTTATACTTCTAGAAGTTTTGCTGGTAGTGCTGTGAATGTTGTTCATTGCTAGCCGTAGATCTGAAAAAGTACGAATGTGCTTTGTGAGATATATATAGTTTCTGGATTGGTAGATTCTACTTGGAGAAGAATTAAAAAATATTAAAAGTGTAAAAAGACTGAAAAATGTTAAGAAAATCTAATTGAAAGATATTTCAATGTATAGATATTTAAGTAATCATCATTTTTCTGAAAGCTATTGTAGTTTTCCTATGCAGTGGTACTATTTTTGACCACTGAGAAGTAAAAATTTCAAGATATATCAGTATCCCTTTTAAGATTTTTGATAATTTTAAAATATTTAAATACTAATGTTATATAATCCCACCTTAACAAAGAAAATGGAACTCGTGTCCATTTCAGTTCGCCGCCCCCCCCCCCAATGGCACAGCGGTATGTATGCGGACTTACAACACTGGAATCCGAGTTTTGATACCCGTGTTGGGCACAGCACAGATAGCCCATTGTGTGGCTTTGTGCTTAATTACAACCAAACAAACAAATATAAAATTCAATTGGAAGAAAGAGGGCCATTAGGTTTTTAATACAATAAAGAAAAGAAATTCATATTACGAAAAAATAATACATCATAAATTATTTATATCCTGGCAACGAGATGCTGAAATTGCCCAGAAAATTAAAACCATTTACAAAAACTAATATTTACATGAAAATGACACCATGATTTACCATACATACATATATGTAGTTAGAAAAATATAAGATCTACCTCTACAAATAGAATAATGGTCAATGCATGTAAAAACCTCAGCATACAAGCTTTTGTGTTCATTAGATTCATCTTGTGGAAAGACACAGACAAGAGACTCAGAGCGAGTCAAAATGGTACTTAAAAACAAGTAATTCAAGTTTACAGTTTCAGATTAAGAAAAAATATGTTGAATCTGTCAAGTTTTCAGTCACTAGACTTTTCAAATACTTAGTTACTCCTCAGTTAGAGCCTTATTTATGACTGAACTTACCAGACTGTGTTAGTATATTACATTCACATGTTAACTGGTAATCAATGTTTGTTGCGTTAAATTTAAAAAAATAATAATAATTAGCTAGTTAGAGTTTCCCAAGGTTAGCCTTCTCTGTCAGTTGGATTAAGCATATCTGCTGTACTTTTTAAAAGGCTGAGTACACAGAAAACTATGTAATAACATGTGAATGATTTGAGTACACTTTTTTAGTGAAATAAAATATGTTTATTGGTTAAAAAATACAGTGTAGTGTGTCTGTTATTTATATTTTGTGCTTTGTAGATTGTCTACGTACTATATTGATTTATAGAGATTACACAAAGATTTCAATAATTTACCTTCTATGGACTTACAGATTTGTGTGTTTCAGTTAACCTTTTGTTTTCTCCAAAATATACAATAAATGATCGAGTGTTGTAGATCATCTGTGTCTATAGATGACAAACATGTTTAAGTGAACTAGGTTTCTGTATAAGACATTCTAAGAAATTTTAATGTAAGAATATGAAATTATAGCTTTCAATGGGATAAATTAATAGAAGTTGTACAATTATACATTCTATTCAACTTATTCAGATAGCCATTAAACCAGTGGAAAGTGTCCTAGCTTCAGCATCCAAAATATGTAGTTTAAAAATGGAAAACATATTATAAGTATGAAAATTAGTGTTAAGTATTACGTGTAATTTTTATAAAATGAAAAAAGGTTAGAGAGCACTCAGACCATCATGATGTTAAATATCATATTTCTTGTGTTATAGGGAACTGCTGTTGTCCTTCAGAGACGGTCAGAAAATGAACCACAAGTTGAAGTTGGAAATTTAGGGTCTTCTGATTATTTTGGTAATGATAATTCTTTGTAAATTTTAAAGTAGGAATAAGATATGGGTTGGATACTCAGCTGTCATGTATCATTGTATAATGAATAGTGTTTCTGTTGTCACTGTAATGCCACTAGTTATGTTAACCCTTTCGCAACGGGCTCAGTATAAAAACACAAATTCGTATACACACTTGCACTTGTTAAGTATTTATAGTATAACTTTTAATGCAGTATATGAATCTTCACGAAAGTTGGTAGACTTTTAGTAAACATTACAAGTCTTTCGTACACTGAAAAAAATATTTTTTAATAAGTATTTTTTACTAAAGATTTCATTACTAGTCCGAGTGTGAAGTGAGTTTCATGTTATGATTAAAAACTATTCTTTGTCAAAAAAAAAAATCTCAAGTATCATTTGTGTAATCTCTATAACCTCCTAAATACATTTCAAATGTTTGTTTTCAGTAACACTTTATATTTTATTTCTTATTTTCACTATCCTAACTACACGGGGTCAGTCAATTTGACCGACCTCGTAACCACCATAAAAAAATTAGGAAATAAATATAAATTATGCTTTTTTCGTTCTGGAATGACTACAGATTATAACACAAAAACACAAATGTTTTTAGCATAAATAGCTTAAATCTCATAACATTATACATTTATATATATTTATTATTTTTATTACATTGACCTTTTTAGCTATGCCTGGTTAACATTACAGAAGTTGCAATGCTGCGGTGCACATGCATTCATGTTACGTATCCAAGAATATAAAACTGGCCTTCACAAAGTGACCTGTCTTGGCTGAGTTTTAGTGGACTAGTACATGTATTTTGTAAAATACAGTCACATTTCAGTCATAATACATTATTTTTAATTAGAAATAAATTCTTAAACTTATTTTTTTTAAAACATAGAACAGTAAATAAAGAAGTATAGAAAACAATCATGTCTTCTAGTTATGAACTTTGTACTCGTTTGCTGCTTGCCATAGGTTGCTAAGCCTTATCAAATTTTGTATGTGAAGGATGTGAAACGAAATAATTTTTTTTAGGTTTTATATATATATACATTTTGAAATAACCAAAAATCATTACTATATCAATACCATAGAATTCCACTATAATTTATCAAGCTTAGTTACTAAGCTCTATTTGAATCTAAAGAAAATTAAATTTCGAGCTCACTAAAGTGTTACCTTACTGCTTTGAATTTTGTATAAAAAGAAAAATATCCATATCTGTATATTTGAAAAAGGCTGAGAAAGCCACTAGGGGGACATTCTGAGCTTTTGATTGATTATTCACACATCATAAAGAGACGTAGGTGTACATAAACAAGTGTTTCCAAAAATGAAAAGAGGTGGGCATGGCCACTGTGTTTGAGTTAGTAAATGTAGTGATATCTCAGCAAATAGTAATTCCACTACTTACCAGGACCTTAATAATATCACGATTTGTTAGTTTCATGATAAACACTATTGATCATTTAAGAGTGATCTCATCATTTATAACACAAGCTTAATGGTAAATGTGCTACTGACCCTCCAATAGTAATCCCATAATATACCAATACCAATATCTTAATTATAAGCATGTTACTCAGCACCCTTCAGAGATTTTTTGTTCATGTACTAGTTCACTAATGATGGAAATTCTTGATTCTTTAAGTATAATTAATTCTCATATTGATAACCTAATGGTAAATAGGTTTTTAATTCTTCAACAGTATCATTCAGAGCACCTCTTATTTAATGATGGAGAAGATTCTAATCCTGAAAGGTTTATATTTTTACATGCAAAGAAAAGTATAATCTAGTGATAAACTTCATTCTTCAACAGTGATTCTTCTGTGTATCAGTTAGTATAACATTTACATCATCCCTACGTAATAGCATGGTCAATAATTAACATATAGCAATATATATATATATATATATATATATATATATATACTATACTATACACTATAGTAGTTATAGTATTAGTTGTTTGTTTAGTTAAATTAATACTACTACTGTGTCGTCGTGTGTACTTATTATTAGTAGTAGTATAG